CATGATGATGATGACGACGACGAGGATGCTGATGATGATGATGATGATGATGCTGATGCTGATGCTGATGCTGATGATGATGATGATGATGATGATGATGATGATGATGATGATGATGATGATGATGATGATGATGATGATGATGATGATGATGATGATGATGATGATGATGATGATGATGATGATGATGATGATGATGATGATGATGATGATGATGATGATGATGATGATGATGATGATGATGATGATGATGATGATGATGATGATGATGATGATGATGGATGATGATGATGATGATGATGATGCTGATGATGATGATGATGATGATGATGATGATGATGATGATGATGATGATGATGATGATGATGATGATGATGATGATGATGATGATGATGATGATGATGATGATGATGATGATGATGATGAGGAGAGGAGGAGGAGGAGGAGGAGGAGGAGGAGGAGGAGGAGGAGGAGGAGGACGACGACTAGGAGCACGATCAGGAGGAGGAAGAGGAGGAGGAGGGGGAGGAGGGAGGAGGGATGAGGAGGAATAGGTGGATGATGAGGAGGAGAAGGATCAGTGCGAGCAGAAGCGCCAGAGGCCTCTTGGGTGCCTCTCGGAGTCTCTTCGGATGTCTCTTGGGAGCTTCCTGAAGACCTCTTGGGGCGTCTTGGAGGCCTCTTGGTGGTCCTGGGGGCCTTTTGGAGCGTCTTGGGTGCCTCTGAGAGCCTCTTTTGGCTTTGGGCTTCTTGGCGGCCTCTTGGGGGCCTCTGGGGGGCCTCTTGGGGCCTCCTGGGCGCTTCTTGGGGCCCTCTTGGGGCTCTCGTGGGGCTCTCTTGGGAGCCCTGGAGGGCCTCTTGGGGCTGTCGTGGAGGGCGTCGGTGAACAGAGGGGGGGTCCTACCGTTTAGTTGGGCCCTTCTTGGAACTCTCTCCGGCTATCTTGGGGCCACCTTGACGCCTCAAAAGCGCATCGGAAGCGAGAAGGGGAGAACTCAGTCCTCAGGGGTGTCCAAAAGCACTTGGAACCGTCTTGTCGCCCTCTTGGGGCCTCTTGGAGACATGTTGCTAGCTATCTTGAGCCATGTAGGGGTATCTTGAGCGATCTTGGAGGCGATCTTGGGCTCTCTGAACTCCTCTTGGAGACATCTCAGGCTATCTTGGACGCCCCTTGCGAAACCCCACGTTCAGGTCCAGGGGAGGGGTCGGGGAAGAGGTGAAGACACCCACCCGCCCGCAAGCCGTCTAGCTCACTCGCACCCGCCCTCCCTACCCTACACATAAGCGACACCCGAGCCTAACCCTGTTCAGCGGGCGCCACGCGCGCCAGGCACCCCTGGGGCCCGAGCGTGCCAGGCACGCCTGGTGCGCAAGATGCGCCACGTGCTCTGAGTGCGCCAGGTGTGCCGCACACACCAGCCGCGCCAGGTGCGCCGCGTTCGGGGCACGTGCAGAGTGCGTCAGGTGTGCCTGCGCACGTGACAGCATACATCGGGAGACACGTTGGCCCCCGCCATCCTTGTCGAACACCGATGTCCATCATTGTGTCTGCTTGGCCTGCTCACAGCAGGCCACGCGCCACCACCCCCGCCGTTCCTGTCAGAAACCACTTGACAGTGATCGCGGGATGGCCGCGCATGATCCTGATTTAGCCGCGAGGTGCATGTTGTAGTGTTTTTTGTCAAGGATGGTAGCCCTGCGCAGCAGGGAACATGTTGACACCCCCGCCGTCCTTATCAAAATCAATACGACGTGCACGCGCGCATTACGAACATGACTCAAGGCATTGATTTTCGGCAGGGATAGTGGGGGGGCCGCATCGTGTTGGCCCTGCATGCTCCAAATGTGGAAGCAGAGTGCGGTTTGTATTGTTTTTGACAGGGAAGGGGGGGGGCGGGTGGGCATGGTATCGGCAGGGTGCCTGGTTGGCCCCTGGTCGCCTGGGGGAGTAGACCACCTGTGCCCAGAGGGCTGGTGGGATTATTTTATCTGTTCAATTCAGAGAGGTCCGAATTCACATTTTCTGTTTCCAAGTCGTCGGTCCCGGCGAAGTCGTACTTCGCGTCTCATTATTTCCGTGCTACCTTCCTCTGCCTTCCTGTTCTTGCTTTCCCCCCTCCCGCGTCCATGGCGGCCGAGCTTGGCGGGCGAACCTTACCGGGTGGGGCGGGTCGGGCGGGCGAGACATGGAAGTGTAGGGCCCTGTCGAGTCTGGTCGGGCGGGGCGGGGCGAAGGTCGGGTCGGGGCGCACGGGCGCGACTTTGCAGTGTGGATTCTTATCAGGTGTGGTCGGCGCACCGGGGGGCCGACGGGCGGGGCGGGTCTGGCGGGCGGAACGTCAAAGTGCAGATCTCTGTTCGGTGTGGTCGGCGGAGCGGGGCCACTGGGCGGGGCAGGTTGGGCGGGCGGGATATGGAAGCGTGGATCTCCGCCGAGGGTGGATCGGCGCAGCGGGCCAGCGGGCGGGGCAGGTTGGGCGGGCGGGGCATTCAAGGTGTAGGGGTCTATCGAGCCTGCCCGAGTGGGGCAGGGGGCGCGGGCAGGGCGGGGGAGCCGGGCGGGATGCGGAAGTGCGGGGCTTGCTGGCCTGCGGTCGAACGAGGGGGTCAGGTCGGCGGGTGGGCCAGGCGGGTGGGCGGTTCACTTTTGAGGCCCTTATCTCGAGGACGAAAAAACGCCACAGACATAAACTTCTTCTGGCGCTCCGCGCGCATTCCGTGGATCCGCGCTGGGGCCCCCCGGCGGCGCCTCCAGCGCCGCCCTTGGCGCGCTTCGCGCGCCAAGGAGGGGGGTCCAGCGCAGATCCAAGAAGTCCGCGCGGAGCGCGAGAAGTTTATGTCTGTGGCGTTTGCTTTTCCATTATCGAGTCTGGTCGGGGGGGCCGGGCTGGGGCGAAAGGCGCGATGTGTCAGGCGGGCGGAACGTTCAGATGGTGGGCCTGTTCGCGTCTGGTCGGGTGGGCTGGCTGGGCGGGCGGGTCGGGCAGGCGGGCACTATAGTGCATGGCTCTTTCGAGTCGGACCGTTTGGTCGACGCGAACCGGCGGGGCGGGCCAGGCGGGCGAAACTTTAGCTTGTGGGTCTTTAATCGAGTCTGGTCGAGCGAGGCGGGGGGAATGGGCGAGGCGGGTCAGGCGGGCGGGACATTAAAGCGTGGGGCCCTGTCGCGTCTGGTCGGTCGGCGCGGGGCGAGCGGCGGGTCGGGCCGGGCGGGCTGAACGCTAGGGTGTAGGGCCTCATGGGGTCTGGTCGAGTGGGGCGGGGCGAACGGGGGACGGGTCAGGCGTGCGAGACCTTGTGAAGCGTAAGGCTTTGTCTGGTTCGCTAGGGCAGAGCGAGCCTGGGGGAGGGAGCGGGTCCAGCAGGCGGGACATTAGACTGCAGGGCCGAGTCGACTCCGGTTGGACGTGCCAGAGGGCGAAGGGGCCAAGCGGGTCGGGCGGCAGAATGTGCGAAAGCGGGGGGCCGTCTCGCGGTCTTTCGGGCCGGCCGGGACAGGCGGGCGAGGCAGGACCGTGCGGAAGCCTTCGGGGAGCCTGCGAGGTTTTCGTGCTCACAGCTTCCCCGAGGGCTTTTTTGAGGACGCGGTTCTCCCGAGGTTCTTGGGCGCGTCCTAGGCTTAAGTCGGGCCTGTCCTTTTGCTGGAGGAATATTCAAAAATAGTCAAAAAAAGTCTGGAGACGTTTTTTGAATATGCTAATTAGATTTTTTTTTTTTTTTTTTTTTTTTTTTTGTTTTTTGAAATATTTTTTATTTTTCGCCCAAAATTCGCCTGTAGGGGGCCATGCCCGACCCAATTTTAGGCCCCAGAGGCATCGCAGGCTCTATGCGCCCCAGAGGTCGCTCCTGCTCCAGGGGCCTCACGGGCTTCAGAGGTCCCACGGGCCCCCACGAGAAGACCTCGCGAGTCCCACCTACCCCAGAGGCCCCACAGGCCCAGGCTTCCACAGGCGCCCCTCAGGGCTTCCCAGGTTGAAATATTGAACAACCGCATTCGTTTCCTATATATTGTTTTGGGCAAGCCCAGATTTACAATCAGTGCGCGAAGTCCCGTATTGAATTTTTCAATGGTGCAGGTCTTCAACCCCGCGAGTGCAGGATTGACCTTCACAATTCGGGATTGTGGGCTCAATGTGGATCCTTGAGTTCGAAAGTTTTCAATCTGGGACTTCGTATTCAATAGTTGGAACATAACCATACTTATCGATCAAGTGTGCTCGACACAATGCAATACAAGGGAAGTCACCGCAGTGGAATGCAAAACAATGTATAATTATGCGCAGTAAGGCGAATTGATGCAACAATGTCAAGCATTGCAAACTGATGCGGGTGGCAACAGGGTGACAATGGTGCGATGGTGAGGTAACGGTGCGGCAACGGGGTGGAAACGGGGCGGCCTCGGGACGGCGACTGAGTGACGACGGAGCGGTTGCGAGGCGGCGACGGGGCAGAAATGCGGAATTGGTATCCCCTTCTTCTGGAGCGCAGTAGGCAGGTTTTAGACCACGTTGTTTTGCGAACTCCTGTGTAGGAAACAGACGTTGAAAAGGTGGTTTGCGTCCTTATTGGCAATGCTGGCTAGCATGGTGTGTGTACTCATTCCGTTCCTATGATTGAGAGAAGCGCCAATCTGTATTGATTGTTGGTGACTTCGGAGTATGGCATGTCCGCTGACTTGCCTCATCATTGCATGCTCGAGGCATCCACCTAAAACGCATCATTCGCATAGTTCGTCTCTTCATTGGTGGCTCGTTGTCAGACTTTCTAGGTCGCACTCGCACACCATCACTTAACTCGTGCATGACTACATTTTTTTAGTAATGGGATACTGTTGGTCGGTGAACGGTGAAACACTGGGTCGAACATGTTGGCGATGGAGGCCCCGAGCCGACTACACGTGAATGTGCAGAGCGACGTTGCCAGAGGGACGCCTCTGATGTTGCACGTTCTTTCTGTCGCCGAGGCATGTGGCGCCACCCATACGAGTTCTTTTGAGGCGCATGTGCTGGCAGATAGGTTCGTCACAAGCGCGCACGCAAACTCATGATACCGTGCACTTGATGCAAGCATGCGGGTAAGCATGCACGCTTTCTTTAGCGGGTGCGATGCACAAATGCGCACCTTTTTTTCACGTACAGGCACGGTTGCCATGGTTACGGCAGGTGCACGGACTTCGCAAAATCGGCAGGAAAACGGTGCACTGCGCGACCGGGTGGTTTGCGTATTCATAATAGCTACACGCACACTCGCAGGCGCGCGCTCATGCTCACGCACACGCCCGTGGCCATGGATCCAGACCCTGGCTCAGGGGGGGGGGGTCGAGGCCTGCGCCCGGAGGCCCTGGGGGCGGGTGGGTGGGTGGATGGGTGGGACGGCGGCGGCAAGGGATGGTGCCCTGCGGCGGCGGCGGGGGCGCCTGCCTCGACCTGGCGGGCCTGCACCCGCTGCTGGGGGTGCCCGTGGCCGTCCCCGAGCATCTGTTGCCTGCCTGGCCGCCCGACCCCGCGGCCCCAGTGGGCCCGCTGGCCTCGCGATCGCCCGGCGGCCTCAGCGCGGAGAAGGTTCGAGCAGTGGGGATTTGTCCCGGCTTGCCCTTTGGCCCACCGCAGCATGTTCTGAGAACTTTTTGTGGTTTGATTTGCGCAACATGTTCTGAGAACATTTCGGGCTGAGACTGGCTCGTTTGAGTACGTCGGCTCTATGTTCCAAGAGCATTGTGTTTTTTGGTTGTGAGAACATCATTTTGTCCTCAGAACCTGTCGTGGTAGCCCTGTGGGACTGCCGGGACGGTCAGCCCCTGCTCACAAGGTGGCTGTTGGGCGGCACTACGCCGAGGTGCGGGCGCTGGAGGAGGAGCTGGCCGCCGCCCGCTCCTGCGCCAGCCCGGCGTGGGCCCACGGCCCCGCGACCAGCCCGGAGCACGAGGCGGCCCGCAGGAGGCACGCGGCCCGGGTGCGCCACCTGGAGCAGGCGCTGGCGGCAGCGAGCGCGGGCGGCTCTCCTGGCCGCGCTGCCTGCCAGGTGGCGGGTGCAGCGATGGAGGGCGCAGCTGAGACCAACGATGTGCTGGTGGTGAGGCACCGGAGCCTCGGAGACAGGCTGTTCCGCTTCTGGGTGGAGGACTGCACAACACGCGGTGGTGTCCGCGTGCACGCGATGGATGCCGCGAGCTTCTCGCAGCTGGAGGCCGAGCTCCCGGACGCAGACGTTCAGGAGATGTTCGACTACTTCTGCACGAGGCTGCGGATGACAGGCCGCCGCTCGTACGCCCACAGCTGCGACCAGGAGCATCACGGCCAGCTGGTGGAGTTCCTGGGCCACCTGGTGGACGCCTGCTACTTCGAGCTGGACGCGCAGGGCCGGGAGGTGGAGCTGCGCATTCCCCACCTGGTCGAGCCGCCCAGGGCGGACCCAGCGTACGTGCTGACCGACCTGCCCGCCGCCCAGCCCGACGCCTCGCTCACCAGTCGCCGCGCACCAGGCTATCTGGCAGGCGCCTGCCAGCTGGCGGGCAGAGTGCCCGACAAGATGCTCGTGCCCCAGCGCGCCGCCGCCAGGCCTCCGTTCCGCTCGAGGCCTGAGAGGCCGAGCTCGGCGCGGCTCAGGCAGCCGCACGCCTCCCACGCGACGCCTCCGGCGCCCCCCCAGCCTGGCGACGACGCGCGATGCCGACTGGGCCCGCCCTCTCGGCCACAGAGCGCTCGGTCGTGGGGCCAGCAGCGGTCGTCTGGCTCCCGTCCTGTCAGCGGCAGGGCAAGGCCGCCGCTCACCGCCACCGCGCGCCCCGAGATCTCGAGCAGCCCCGTCGCATCGATCACCGCCAGCGCGCAGGCTCTGGTGGCCGCGGCGCGAGTGGCCTGCCCGGCACCCCTGCAGCGCAGAGCCAGAGCGGCCAGGTGGCCCGCTCCCGTCGGCGGTGGCGGCGAATCTGCCGCACACGACTGCCAGGAGCCGAGTGTGCGCCAGCCCGCCCGCGCCTCGGCTGCGGGAGACGAAGCGGGTGGTGTCTGCCCGGCCGCGCCCACGCGGCGGCCAGCGTCCGCGCGGCGGCCAGCTTCCGCAGCACGGCACAGGCACTCGCGGCCAGACGTGCGGCGACTAGCATCTGTTGTTTCTGCCAAGGCAGCTGGAGCGCACGAGGCCCAAGGACCACTGCTGGAGGCGCCCTGCGGCGAGCCGTCCTGGCCTGGCTCGTGCGTCGCTTTCGCAGGGCACAGCGCGGTGCCGTCGGCCGGGTATGGCTCTCCGCTGCGGCAGATGCGGCCTGTGTCGGCGAAGGCACTGAAGCATAAGCGCGTTACAGCCGACGACCTGCCAGACGGGTTCGTTGTGTACAGCGACGCGGGCTCTGGGTCCGGCGACGAGCACGAGGCGACGCCCCGCAGCAGGTGCCCCTCGCCCCCGAAGGGGTGCGAGCGCGACTCGTGGACGTCTGGCGACCCCAGCGCCGCGGCCGCGCCGCAGGAGGAGGCAGGCCACATGTCAGGCCTGGTGCCGTCCCCAACGCCGCCCGCAGCGCGGCCACAGTCAGCGTGGCGCGTCGGCAGAGCTGCTGCAGCGGCCGTGGGCGCAGCAGGTGTCTCGGGAGCCGCGCAGCATGTGCCCGAGCAGCCCCGCGAGCCGCGGAGGTCCACTCCGCCCCGCCGCCGGCCCGCGATCTGAGCTGCGCCCCCCCCCCTTCCCGCGGTTGTCTTGTCGGGCCCCCAGCTGCACCCTGGGGGGGCGGCCGCGCAGGCCTTGAAGGGGCCGCCTTGGACGTGACGGGAGCTGCTGCTGCTGCTGCTGCTGCTGCTGCTGCTGCTGCTGGAGCGATTCGGGGAGTTTTGGGGGGAACAGGGAGGGATGAGACACGAGACAAGAGGGAGGTGGAAGTGGTGGAGAAGGAAGAGGAAGAGGTAGGAGGAAGAGGGAGAAAAAGGGAGGAGGCTGGGGAGGAGGAGGAGTAGGAGGAGGAAAGCAAACAGTACTAACAATAGTATCAATCCAGCGAAGACGAAGCTGACGAATAAAAGACACATGCGAATATGAAACACAATATTAGTATTATTATTTCGCATAGTCATACTGCGAATACTAGTTACTACGAGTACTACTGCTATCATTACTACTGCTACTACTACTCTACTATTACTACTACTACTACTACTACTACTAATAATTCTACTACTACTACTACTACTACTACTACTACTACTACTACTACTACTACTACTACTACTACTACTACTACTACTACTACTACTACTACTACTACTACTACTACTACTACTACTACTACTACTACTACTACTACTACTACTACTACTACTACTACTACTACTACTACTACTACTACTACTACTACTACTACTACTACTACTACTACTACTACTACTACTACTACTACTACTACTACTACTACTACTACTACTACTACTACTACTACTACTACTACTACTACTACTACTACTACTACTACTACTACTACTACTACTACTACTACTACTACTACTACTACTACTACTACTACTACTACTACTACTACTACTACTACTACTACTACTACTACTACTACTACTACTACTACTACTACTACTACTACTACTACCTACTACTACCTACTACTACTACTACTACTACTACTACCACTACTACTACCACTACTACTACTAATACCACTATTACTACTATTACTACTACTACTGCTACTACTACTAGTAGTAGTAGTACTACTACTACTACTGCTGCTGCTACTACTACTACTACTACATCAACTACTACTACTCATAGTAATTTTACTGCGAAAAATACGACCAACAGAGGCGTAGTACTAGTATGACGAAGCAGAGTAATACTTCGAATAAGGCGAACACGGCGGATACTACTAAACATGCGAATGATGGTAATATTACGAACCGTAGTGATACTACTACTGCTCAGAATAGTAATCTTATGACTACGATCAATTTCATTAATAGCACCACTCATCCTTTTTTGCTACTCGTAATACCCATACGAATGCTAGTGCGAATAAACTCGTGATACGAGCAATGCCAATACTATGACCAAGACTAACACTACTAGTCGTAGTACCACCAGCTTAATACGACTCATGCGAATAATAATACGCATGCGAGTGATACGACTACGACTAATATTGCGACACACGATAATAGTACTACTTCGCATACTAAGAGTTATACAGCTGATACGCAGAAACAACTTACAAGCTATCCTGGCAAAGCAACCTAACAGCGATGTGTAGGAACATAGTTGGAAACATTCCCCTTAAGACTCAGATGATCATCCAGTTGTAGAATTCTGCTGTTCTCGCAGTCGCAGTCGCATTCGCGATGACAGTCGCAGTGGCAACGGCAGTCGCAGTCACAGCCTCAGCCTCAGCCTGCCTCAGCCTCAGCCCGCCTCAGCCTCAGCCTCAGCCTGCCTCAGCCTCAGCCTCAGCCTGCTTCAGCCTCAGCCTCAGTCTGCCTTCAGCCTCGGCCTCAGCCTCAGCCTGCCTCAGCCTCACCCTGCATCAGCCTCAGCCTCAGCCTCAGCCTGCCTCAGCATCATCCTGCCTCAGCCTCAGCCTCAGCCTGCCTCTGCCTCAGCCTCAGCCTGCTTCAGCCTCAGCCTCAGTCTGCCTTCAGCCTCGGCCTCAGCCTCAGCCTGCCTCAGCCTCAGCCTGCATCAGCCTCAGCCTCAGCCTCAGCCTGCCTCAGCATCAGCCTGCCTCAGCCTCAGCCTCAGCCTGCCTCAGCCTCAGCCTCAGCCTGCTTCAGCCTCAGCCTCAGTCTGCCTTCAGCCTCGGCCTCAGCCTCAGCCTGCCGCAGCCTCAGCCTGCCTCAGCATCAGCCTCAGCCTCAGCCTGCCTCAGCCTCAGTCTGCCTTAGCCTTAGCCTCAGCCTCAGCCTGCCTCAGCCTCATGCTTCAGCCTCAGCCTCAGTCTGTCTTCAGCCTCGGCCTCAGCCTACCTCAGCCTCAGCCTCACCCTGCATCAGCCTCAGCCTCAGCCTCAGCC